TACTTGATGTGAAGACTCTTTCCCTCTGTGTTGGTATTTAGAGTACCTACTGCTCTGAGTAAGGAGTCACTGAAAACCTTATGAATATCAGTGGAATACTGTCAGCACCAGAAGACTGGATATTGAAACATGATGAAGGGCACTAAAATATTGTCAGATATAGTGCCAGAAGATGAGATCCTCAGGTTGGAAGGCACTCAAAATGCAACTGGGGAAGAACTATCTCCTCAAAGTAGAGTTGACCATGAAGATGTGAATGGAGTAAAGCTTTTGGGACCTTCATTTGCTGATGGGGCTCAACTCAAAATGAAGAGAAACAGCTGTAAAAATCTATTAATTATCAGAACACAGAATATATGAAGTATGACTCTAGGAAAATTGGAAGTTATCACAAATGAAATGGAACACATAAACATTGATAATCTGGGCATTAGTGAGCTGAAATGGACTGGTATTGGCCATTTTGAATCTGGCAGTCACATGGATTACTAGGCCAGGAATGACAGTTGAAGAGGAATGACATCACATTCATCATCAAAAAACATATAAAGATTTGTCCTGAAGTTCAGTGCTGTCTGTGACAGGATAATATTCATACACCTACAAGGAAGACCAGCTAATACCACTACTGTTCAAATGCCTGCACAAACTGCTAAAGCCAGTGTAGATGAAAGTGAAGAATTCTACTAATGTCTTCAGTCTGAAATTGATCAAACAATATTATAATGAAGTGAAAAGACCTGGAGTTAGAAAAGCAAAAGGGAAGAACATGCTCATTTTCAACTTGAAATACTGGAGTCTATGGGCAAAATATTGAATGATACAAAAAGCATCAAAAGAAGTTGGAAGAAATACACAGAGTCACTGTACCAAAAATAAATGGTTGGTGCTGAACCATTTCAAGAGGCAGCATATGATCAAGAGCCAATGATACTGAAGGAAGAAGTCTAAGGTACACTGAAGGCATTGGCAAAGATCAAGGCTCTGGGAATTGATGTAATACAAATTGAAATCTTTCAAAAAACTGATGCAGCACTGGAGGCACTCACTCAACTATGCCAAGAAATTTGGAAGACAGCTAATTGGAAGAGATCTATATTTGTGCCCATTCCACAGAGAGGTGACCTAATGGAATGAGAAAATCATTGGACAATATCATTAATATCACATGCAAGTAAAGTTTTATCAAAGATAATTTTTAAATGGCTGCAACAGTACATTGACAGAGAATGGCCAGAGATTCAAGCTGGAGTCAGACAAGGATGTGGAATAAGGGATATCATTGCTGACATCAAATGGATCTTGGCTAAAAGCAGAGGATACCAGAAAGATGCTTACCTGTTCTTTTTTGACTACATAAACTCTTTCAGTTGTGTGGATCATGATAAGCTATGGACAGTATTTCGGAGGATGAGTATGCCAGAATACTTAATTGTGCTCATGATGAACCTGTACATAGACCAAGAGGTAATTGTTCAAGCCAAAAAAGGGAACACTGAATGGTTTAAAATTAGGAAAGGTGTGCATCACCAGCATTGTATTCTTTCACCGTACTTATTCAATCTGTATGCTGAGCAAATAATTAGAGAAGTTGGATTATATGAAGAAGAACATGTCATCAAGATATGAAGAAGAACATGTCATCAGGATTGGAAGAAGATTCATTAACAACCTGCAATATGCAGATGATACAACCTTGCTTGCTGAAAGTGAAGAGGACTTAAAATACTTACTGATGAAGATCCACAGCCTTCAGGATGGGTTGCACCTCAATGTAAAGAAAACAAAAGTCCTCACTAGTGGAGCAATAAACAATATCCATATAAATGGAGAAAAGAGTGAAGTTGTCAAAGACTTCATTTTGCTTGGATCAACAGTTAACACTCACAGAAGCAGCAGTAAAGAGATCAAATGAACTATGGCATTAGGTAAATCTGCTTCACAAGACTTCTTTAAAGTGTTGAAGAGCAAAGATGACAGTTTGAGGACTAAAGTGTGCTTGATCCAAGCTGTGGTGTTTTCAGTAACCTCATATGCATGTGAAAGTTGGACAATGAATAAGGAAGACCATAGAAGAATTGATGTATCTGAGTCATGGTGTTGGAGGAGAATTTTAAAAGTACCATGGACAGCCAAAGAACGAACTATTCTGTGTTGGAAATACAGCCAGAATGCTCCTTAGAAACCAGGATGGCAAGACTTTGTCTCTCATATTTTGGAACCAATCCCTGGAGGAGAAGAACATCATGCTCAGTAAAGTGGCGAATCAGCGAAAAAGAGGAAGACCCTCAACATGATGGATTGGTACAGTGGCAGCAACAGTGGGCTCAAGCATTGCAATGATTGTGAGGTTGACGCAGGAACCTATTTTGTTCTGCTGTGCATAATGTTGCTACCTTACAACAATAGGGAGTGCAGTGGTTCCATATGATAAACATTGGACCATGAACCACAAGTTTCCTGTCTGTTTGCATGACAAGTACATTTTGGTTGTGATTTTAAGGTTCTTTTGAGAACCTTAAAGGCTTTAAATGTTCTATAATAGAAAATTTCCTCCTTTCCTTGTGAAGCTGATACAGTGAGGACTGATCATCTTGATCCCATCAGAGACTGAGTTTTTCCAAGGCCTTCTTACAGTTTTATGCTGGTATGAAACCAGTCCTAGTTCATCTCCAGGTTTCATCTGATTGAGAACCTGGTGCATCTTGTCCCCACAGCCATGAAAAATGGTAAGAGATTCCGTTCTGCCTTTTGGAAGTTTTAAATTGTACTGCTTCATGCAGCTTAAACATTCAGCAAACGTCTAGAGAGGGATGTCAGATATGTGATTAAGGCAGGTCCACTGTCTTTATGGGACTGAGCTCTGGTAGTGTTGTTGTTGTTGTTAAGTGCCATCGAGTCGGTTC